GATTTACTTACCACTGCCCAAGACCCAGTGACAGTTACATACGTTTAAATCTCTACTTACAGAAAAATATGCGGCTGAACACAGAAAGAAATGATTGGCCGGTCAAATACCTGCTTCTCCATGCAGTCTGACCCCTTCCTGCTGGGAGCACAGGTTCTCTCTGAAGACATCTGCCACTCTTTGACTTGTGTATCAGTTACTGAAATACAGCAGCGGCCCCCACGAGGCTGGAAGCTTCCGGAGAACAGACTCCCCATCTAATTTACTAAAGGACCCTCTTGGTATATCAACTGCATGTGGCAAACAGACCCCACACGCTGCCCAACGTGCTAAGCAAGCGTTTGTCCCTGGGAATATTAGCACCGGGAAACCTCACTAAAAGGGAGTTGGGGAGTTCTGGCAGGGGAGCTCCCAAGCCCCCCCACCGATTGGTCAACTGCAGACCCAAGAGGAAGAGACAGACTTGACCTTGCACGCATACTACTCCACTACTCCAGTAGGGGGAAGAGACGCTTCCCTATCCCCTTGGTCAAGGGCTCAGCCAATGAAGACCCACCATACTTTGAACTCCCGGGTTACTCCAATGGACTTTTAGTTTGTAACAACCTTCTCGGCTTACCCCTTTCTCCTTAAAAAAGCACACCTCTCCGCTGTTCCCTGGACTTGTCTACAGTTTTGCCAAAACGGGTTTGGCCCGGATTGTAATTCTCTTATTCCTGAATAAACTGAATAAACCCTTCTTTTGCTGGTAAAATAACTGGGAATTTTTATTTTTAAAGTCAACATCCCCAAACCTATTTATGCCGTTGTACCAATAAATATACAGGTACAAAAATAAGCATTTACATATAGATATACGTATATGTGTACTTGTACATATATACATACACACACACACACACACACACACTTAACTAAAGAAACCCATGAAATAACTACAGTTGTTTCTACGAAAATTACAAGTTGCTAAATTTTTTTAAAGACTTTTATAAACCCTAACTAAATTACAGGTGTGGGTGAGACAGGTAAGACAAGTATAAAGGACTGGGTGAAAATGTGTAAAACGTTTTAGATTTAGCAACTCAGACTGCTTCACGCATCTTCTTGGTTGTCAACCCTCTTCATCCAAAAACTGAATATGGAAAACAATAAATTACGGGTGTGGTTTACGCAGGAAAACGACTCACAGTTCTGATTCGCAGAGAGTAAAAGGTCAATAAGAGACTGGCACATGAGATGCACTGATTTTTTCTTTGATGTTAAAAATAAAATGCCTAAACTCTGTGGTTTTTGTATGATTCTTGCTTTATCCAGCCTCGTCAGTTAGCTGACGGGTGGGTGGCCTGTCTCGGTCTCACGAGACAAATGCTGAGCGACCACTGACCAGGCATCACGTCAAGTGCCAAGGACAGTGCTGCCTCAAGGGAAACACACTGGAAGACGACTGGGCTGGAGGAGGCGCCCACAGCCTACGGGACACAGCACTTAGCAGAGCAGAAGCATTCTTCCCCACCATCAATGAAAACAGAACAGCTGTGTAATGTGTTTACAGACCAAGACAAATTAATAAAAGTACCTAGTTCAGAATTGTCAACTTCCAATCTGAAAGAAAAGCCCCGGGCTTCCCTGATGGTGCTCTGATGTTGATGTCAGCCTGCTAACAAGATTCTGCTCCCCGCCGTGCTTGCCCGTCTCCCCAGACCACATCTGGGGACGAAGCGAGACTTACGTGCCTGACCCCGGCCAGCTGGGTAATATACCCCTGATGCGAAGCTGACTCCAAGGGGAAAAACCACTCCCTTTACTCGGCACTTCAGGGCATCCGGGAATAAAGAGCAAAGTAAACGAGAAGGAAACGGAAATTAAATTGCTCTTACCTCACCTGGGCCAAGAGGTGGCAAAGCTGTGGCCTAATTTGACTGTTACCACCGGGGGAAGGGCTGAACACCTCCGCATTACAGACACACAGGGCTCTGCCCCTTGGCATATCAACAATGCCACCAATTTAATAACGATGAGATTGCAAAGCCAAGCGGTTTACAACTTCAAAAGACTACTCCAAAAGAGACAACTGCTTACCCAAAAAAAGCAAGGTGGGGGAGGCAGTTGGAAAACAGAAGTGAGGCCAATACTTAATCTTCCTTATTCTAAATTAAATCCCAGGGGCGCCTGGGTGACTCAGTCAGTTAAGCGTCTGACTTTGGCTCAGGTCATGATCTTCCGGTTGGTGAGTTGGGGCCCCGCGTCGGGCTCTGTGCTGACAGCTCGGAG